TTCTAGCAATCTGGATATAATGAACCTAATTATCAATACTTATAATCTTCACTATAAAAAGTGTCCTTCATTATAAGGAATTTCTGGTTATAAGGAATATTTTCTCTGGTCCCGTAGAATTCGTTATAACCAGCTTTGACTGTAGTGCCCATTCACAAGATGGCTGGCAAGGCATTAAGAATATCACTGGCAAATGTCAATAAAAACACTTACTGGAGTTTGTTATGCAAAAGCACAATAACTAATGACATGAAGGGCAGATTTTGTGAAAGATATAGCATAAACCTTATTATTATGGTAAAGCAAAAACATGTCACTGAAATGTTCCTAATATTTAAAGGAACAATTGAGAACGTCCATGAATTTAGGGGTTCCAGGGAGCAGTTGAAAACAAAGCCAGTGAGTGACAAATATCTTTCGCGTGCACTCGTCAAAAACACCAAATAATTATTTCAATACCAGTTGCATATACTGCACGCTTAACATCGTTCCATATACAGCCCGCACGCGAATTAATAACGTTCTATTCAAACATTAAGAATGATTATATTGTGTTATACTAAGCTTTTATTATCACTACAATATTCTAAATTTTCCCATTATGGCATGTAAGACAATTTGCTGTTTTACACGTTCGGTAATAAGAGTTATCCTCGGTAAACAGTCGCTGATTCTCTATCACAGATCGAAGTAAAAAATTTTATTCAAAATTCTATTTCAAATGTTACTAGCGTATAGTTGTAAGAATAGCATTAACGTGTTGACACAATTCTTACGCTGATTCTAAGTAACTAGAAAGTCTAATTTAAATACTTTTTTTGCAAACTTTATTGCATTTGTTTATGTAGTTTGGCAATTCCAATGCGGTTTTCTGAAATGGCAGAGTATCTATGATAATTTGCTTAGTCGTAAAAGCAATATGTACACTTCTTAGAACATCAAAACCGGTTTTTTCATCAACTATAAATTATTTTTCTTTGCATCAAACCCTACTTTTTTATTGCCACCTTTCCTGGTTTGTGCTAACAAAAAGGTTAACTTGTTTACATTATCGGGAAGAAGAGGCTTTTTCTCCGCTTTTTTTGCTGGCTAGTCGGTTTGGCTTTTGTTTTGTTAGTTGCTTTTTTTTCTTGCTTGATAAGTTTCTTGGTTCCTTTCGGCGTTAGGAAGTTATCTCAATTTTGTCGACGGCAGAATTATTAAAAATTTAACACGAAAAGAGCTTGAAAATGTATTTCAAAAAGGCACAATATTTTGTTAATTCGAGTAAAGTAAAGTTGGCGGGCTGAGTTAGCAATCGCAGCTTAATAACAAGCAGAGCTATGACGTCTCTTGTGACTTTTTAACCAGACTTTTGCTACTCACTCAATGTCAATCGGGTAGAAAATAAGTATTTGTTCTCAAACAACTCGCTAATGTTAAAGCGGTAGTCTATAGATTGGGGGCGAGTTTATAATTAACAAACACGTTTTCTGTCAACGAATAATTATCATATTGTCGCTAGAACATTCGCAGAACAAGAAGTGAATACTGCTAATTAAATATAGAAATTAACGCTTTCTCAGCCACATCAACCAATGTACTAGGAACGAATAGAAAATTTAAAAGCACATGGCACAAATTTTATTAATAAAACACCAATCGATAGATTTTCTAATTTACAGATTAGTAGTTTCGTTGTTATGTGTTTTTTATTCGAATTCAAAATAGTCAATTACCTCTACAATGAGCGAATCGATTTTCTATAATACAATTCTTTGTTACCTACACAGAGTAACCATACTTTTGTGTATGTGCTAGAGTGCACATATTGTCGTAACGCTATCGCACATACATCTGTGCATTACATAAATTAATAATAAAGGCCTTATCTACTGTATATCTATCCATATTTCCTTTACATTTGCGCTTTCTCCCTACTTTGCGTTATCTGTTGCTATCTGTTTTGAAAGAGAAGGACCCCCAGAGTTTGATCGATCGTTTAACTAAATATTAACCGCATGCCAAGTATCCAATAAATTGAATTAAATTTTGTGTTGATATGCAATAAACGTTTTAAATTATTTTTAGTAAAGAGTCATGCGGAATAAACAATTGCAAATTGCTCCCAATTCTGGGAGTTAGTATACAATTAGAAAAAGTGTCTTATTTGAGTAAAAACGAGACACGAAACGATTCTCAGAATGTTAATTATTGCCGTGATTTAATTAAATGCTATGCAGTTCGGTATTGGTTACAATGATCTGATTGTTTAGGCAAATCGGGTGATGGAGTGTGTGGTAACGGATAGATAACAATACATTGGTACCAGTAATGTGTTATATTTTCAATAGCATAAATTTAATTAAACAATTTAGAGCGTAACATATTAATCAGGCGTTTAAACATGTCATTGCAAAACTACTACAGCCTTTCAATTATTAAACCTTTTATTCATATTACTGCTGAAACCGTTCAGTAAGTTTTATGTTAGTTGAAAGTATTAAAACCGTTTGCACGATAAAGATAAAATAAAACGTGGGTTAACGTCTTTAGGAATTTGGAAATAACTCTAAAATAGGTTAGATTGTGACAGATTGTTTCTTCGCTAGCGTTTAGTAAGTCAAGAAGAAAGATTAGCTTTGAATAGCAAGACGGTAATCAATATTAACAAGGTTATTCACCGCGCTTACCTTAGGCATTAGTGAATACGATCTATTATAGTAATAAAGTGAAGAAATTAAGTGTATTGCTTCCTCCCACCAACGTTATGCTTCTTCCCAAAGTTATGCTTCGCCCTCCACCGACTATTTCATCATGTGTGTCAGCATGCGTTGTACATATAATTTGATGACTAAGCTGAACAGCGCACACATGATTGTTTACAGTCTATATGATCGAACTCTCTGGTCCCGAGTTGCTCCAGAGACTTTAGTCGCACTAATTATCACGCAATTAGTACACACACTGTTAGATTTATTTGCACTCAACTTGTGTGTTTTTTATCCATCTTTATTAGTAAAAACAATAATTTTTCCTAACTATAGTAAACAATCACAAACGTCTTGCAACATTTCGTTATCATGTCCGTATATTAATTTATTGACTGCTAGATTTAAATTTAATCTTCCGCTCTAATGCAATCAAACTAATATAACATTTAGCAATAATAATAAATGTTAAAACAGCTGTAAAATACGTTTCCTAGTATTAGTTTTTATGCTGATATTCATTCTAAAGTCTCAGCCTTGTACTTGTGACCAATATGTTTAAACCGATACAAGCCAGATTATTTGGTTGGTGTGTGGGGGTGGACAGCACAGCCGCGTTCAAATTTAAACTCCTTGTAAATTAAATATTAGTGACGCAATGCAATTCGAATAGAATGTGAGAACTTAACTACAGTTACGTTAGCCTTCGAAATTTATCACAGAAAAAAAGAATTGTACAATAAAGCATAGCATATAAAATATGCAATAGATGACAATTTTCCACCCCTCTCGTCCGATGCTGGTTGGTTTCTGACGCTGCAACAATGAAATTAATGTTTCTTACAATAGGATTTGGTTTTACAACATTCTTTTCACTATAAAAAAAAATTTTTTTTTTTACCCTTGTCGATATTTTCTCTGTGGATGCACCAATTATAGCTATTTTTTCGTATCGTAATATCTGTAATATATCACGCTGCTTTATCGGTCGAGATCTGGTAATCAACTTACTATTCTCAAACTTATATAAATACAGCATATATCATATCGCAAGTGAGTACTTTTCGTTTGCCTAGCATGACTTACAAAATAAAAGTTTCATCGCGTGGTCGAAAATCACGGAAAGTATCTGTACTAGATTTTACTGGCCGGCATGCTGTTATGATAGTGAAAAGGTCGCGTAAACCAGGAACAACAGAGAAAGCAAGACAATCTATTAACGGTAAAGAAGACCAACAACTTGTGAAAGAGTCGGTCGATATGGTGGACGGGTTGACCCAGGAATTAGTTTGTGATAATAAGCACAGGAATAAGACACAAATTAATATCGGAAGTGAGGTGCTTGCTCACATGGTAAGAATTACAACACAAAACGAATTATTGTTGTTAGAAAATCACTAAAAGGTCTACCGTATTATGTACTTTTGTAGAGCACCGAGCAACTTAACCAATATGCCAGATTTATCGCGTTTGAGCTGTTAAAGTCACAACTTAATAATTAAAATTGGCGCACATTTCCCCCCACTATTATCTCCCGTTGTTTCTGCATCCGCAATTCTTGTTATGTTTACGCAACCCCCCCCCCCCCCCCACTGATAACGTTTAAGCCAATATAAGGTTTTTGTTATGTAACAGTTTAATTATGAATAAAATTCAAGTTTTATTTGGTGATATGTTGTTGGATAATTCTATAAACAATGTGGCAGTTTTAAAACAGTTTTAAAGTTTTTGTTATTGTCGTTCTTTACCCATAATACCATTGATAACCCTATTTCCACGGATGAGTGTCACCAACTACAAGCTAATCTCGTTTGCATCGGTATCAACTAACACAATCTTGGTTGCTCTTTAAAACATAAGATACAGCATGTTTTCTCAGTTAAGACTATTAATAGTTTGACGACAGGTATAGAGTATTTGCGAAAGTACGTCCGGTAAATTATAGACACGCCTAAAGTATTGAAAGTGTTTAAACTTCAAACCTAAAAATAAATTAGAAACACTTTTTTTCCCGTGTGCGTGGGGTAAGCTAGAATACTCTTCAGGGTTTGTCGTGTCGCACCTTTATCGCAAATGTTTGTCCCACCGTATGTTAATCGAAATTACTGTATATGCGTACAGGACGTGGTAATTTCAATCAGCCTATCACACCTCTTCCTTAAATAAAAAATCGACCGAATACTTAGTAATTCAATTTGTAATATACGGGTTCGAATATACGTGCGTAACTTGGGTCGAATGCTGATTATTTTATACTACTGAAATAACATTGATTTTTCGAGTTTTACAATAGTAAAGACGTTATAAGCTTCGTATGTAGTCTACATGATAACAGTACTCTAGTGTTACGTATTCGAAAATGTTCGACTCGTCTACAAACTATGCGTCTGTATATTACCTATTGTACTTTTAAGCGGAAAGTAAACTTTACAGATAATCAAACATAACAACTCTACTAAAATTTCCCAAGGATATGCATATCAATAGTTTATAATATTCCTCTACAAAACATCCGCCTAATTAGCGTAACGATAAATTTCTGCAAAGCGTGTGTTCTAGCATTGCTACTTTATACAATATAATCGGATATATGCTAGAGTCGGAAAGTTTGAATTCTTTCGATTAAAAGACTGCGGGAAACAAAGCAGATGATGAAACATGGCGCCGTTTCATAATAGCAACAACTCGTTTAACATTTGATGCATGTTAGCGAAAATCGATGATATTTTATAGCCAATCTCATTTTTTAGATTTTCTCTGCGTTATTAGAACGCTTACCTATTCAAACTTGAATTTCAATGCAACTTTTGTTTGCTCTTGTTGATAGAGGAACTTTTTATTTTGAAGAGACTATGAAAAAGGCAGTGTAATGCAAAAGCTGCATTCTCAATTTCCTAGAGGAATAGGATAAGACGTCTTTAATGTTTTGCTTTATATGGTCACATACAGTACTTGAATTTGGAATTGTTTTACTCAAACGCCAAGGCAAGTAATTTCGTATAAGGTTTTACTTTTCATTTTGTTCTAATTTTAATCTTGAACTCATTTATGTTTCTTTGAACTGGGTTTTCGATACAACTTTGTTTGCACTTGTTGCTAAAAAAACCTTTTATTTTTTAAAGAGACGCTTGTTGTGTAATGCAAGATGTTCTCAATTTCCCAGAGGAAAGCAATTGTACCTTTTTATTGTTTCGTTCAATATTTGCGTACAGTACTTGGATTTGTGAAATTGTTTATGATCCTGTACACAAAAGCCAAGGCCAAGTAAACTTATATAAAGTTCCACTTTTTCATTTGGTTTTAATCTTTCAGGCTCTTTTGTTCCGCTTATTTCACGGATGATGGCACGTAACCAGACGGCGCAGGTTTGATAACAACGACAACGCTAACTAAACGGCACGTTAACAAAACTTACTTTCTATGATCCTGATTTGGACGTACAATCTCATAATTCAGGTAAAAGGCATTGACAAATACGTTTATTGGTGTGGGAGGTTGGTTAATTAGAGAGGGCAGGTATTACAAAGGTAAGAGATTTAAGCGCATATTTAAAAGTCGGAGAAATAAAATGCGATCTGACGAGAGAGCTAGAAAATGAAGATCGGTGAACACGTTAAAACCCTGTTTAATATCCATGAATAATGACATTGATATTCCTGCCGTCTTTAACTTGGGTCCGGTTCATTTGCCCGACAAAAAACTACCCAAAAAGGATAACTTTAAAATAATGCTGGTAAATATTGTCGGGCAAATGAACTGTCGGGCAAACGTTTGTCGGGCAAGTAAACGGTTCTTTTAACTCGACATTACAAAAACTAATGTCGATCCAATAAGGGTTTTTTTGTAGCAACTAAAGACAAAGATGCAGTTTATGAAGATTTTTAGTGCGCCACGGGTATAATAATAATCTATTAAAATTGGGTAGCATTTAATCAAATACTTATTTTGACACAGCAACAGCACGCGCCAAATAACCCCGTTATGAAGGTGTCTCTACAGCATGTAATTGTTTATATTTACACACCTGCAGACTTGTGACATAAAGTTGTGGCCTCCAAAATAAGTAAACTTTATAGTAATGGTAATAGTTAAATATATAATACTTGGAACGTATTAGTGTCGTAGAACGCTATATATATATATATATGTGTGTGTGTGTGTGTGTGTGTGTGTGTGTGTGTGTGTGTACGGTATACACAAAAATATAACAGGTGTTCGTTCATATAAATTAGGCTTTTTATTACCAAACTATTCAATCACTCATCGTGCCACACGGATCACGTTGATATAATATCTCGTTTATGCGATACTATTGGTTGACACTACTTGCTGCATGGATAACAGCGTTTATACTTACAAGGTTACGCGCGAAAGCAATTGATAGTACAAATATTGACATCTTCCGTCGAGAGAAAAGTATATCCAAAGAGACGACAGTATTTCTCATGACACAAACGACATTTTTCTCCGAGTAAAAATTGCCCTGAGCGAAGAAATGTTCACCTGAGGTAATCGAATATTTTACTTGCGACAACGACCAAGAATATACTGTAAATTTGGGGTTTACACATACATTTAGAATATGTGGTATAAGAAATCGGAGACTGAGGAAACATAATTCGGTTATCGACATTGGTTTTAGATCACTTTTTTACTTGAACACTCAGTTGACTAGATCAAACTTTACATGTAACTAAACACGTCATAAAACATTTCCTCGTTCCCCACATTAATTACAGAGTGTTGAATACGGTTCGACTAGTCGACAAAGTCCCTGAAACAGTACTGCCAATGCCAATATTGAACGAGTTCATAGAAGGTAACGTAACATATACGACGAATTCATATGTCGTAATTCATATTCTCTAAAAAATAACATAAAACACTCTTCATGTAATAAGTGTACCAGCATAGAGTTAA